ATAAAATAGAGGTAGTTGACCTCTCATGATCCACAACCATGATGATATTTCAATCCGTTCTCTTGAGTATTGTTTAATATATAAAAAAAGTTTTTATTATCATTCATATATATAGAGAGAAAAAGAGACGCCGGTTATAAATATGTACTTTCTACTTTGATGAAAAGAAAACTCATACCATGAATGTATATGACAATATTTTTAATCTGCTTGGAAAGGACTTTTGTATTCAAACTATACTGAAAGCTTTATTTGGGGTTTTACCTGGATCAAACAGCTTCTTTAAATAGAATCCAACTAAGCTTTCCGGGATGCAACTTTTCTTCATTTCCCTTTCTTTTTGGTTTTTATATCTAAAACTGGTTGTGTTGTGACATTTGTAATTGTAGTTTGAATTTGTTTCATAAACACACAATGATAGGCTTAACAAAAAATTCCTTATTATTTTTTCTCTTTTTTATAACTAAGGGAACATTATTTTCTTGTCTTAAGCTAATTCAAATTTATTCGAGCTCATTCCTATTATGTTGATAACAAATTATCTCGAATTTTATTTGAACTATTTTGATGAAAAGCGTAACTTATATGAATTATTATTAATAGAAAAGTTTCTCTATGATTCGTATTCCAAAATTTTCCTAATAAGGCTTATTAGTTTTTAGTTAGGGTTTCCTTCATATAACGTTAAAAAATAAGACTCAGAATCCGAACTTCTTTTTTTTTTGACTGAAAGATGCTTCATCATTTATATTATACTCTGACCTCGTTCTATCCCACAGAAGAACATCATTTTTTATTACACCACAAATTTTCGTCGGAATCACTTTCTTTTCTGATATAAAATGTGTTCTATATTTTGTCTCTTACTCTGTATTTCTAAATGAGTTTTTCACAATAGATGTTGAAGGGGGTAATGCGTTTTTATGGAATATTTTAAATCTTAAAGATTTACTTTTAAAAAAAAGATGAATATATTACATCATTATGAATTTGTGTAAAAATTTGCACAGTTCTAAAGATGTTCCGCGTTTGGTTCAGATTTTGCAACATCAGATATTTTGATTTGATTTTTTTATTAACGTCGCAACTTAAAGCTGTACGAGGGCTATTGGTGACGAGCCTCGTAATTTTGGACCTCGGTCAAGTGATGAAGATGACATCTATGATGTTAAATATAGACATCTTTGAAAGATATATTCTAGGACAGTGATTCCCAAAGGGATCTATATAGACCCCTTAGGGGTTTATGACGACTTGTAAGGGGTCAATGACAGCAAGAAAATAATTTGGGGGTTCATGAGGTGTAAGTGGGTGTATACGACAGCTCTCACTAAACCAGATTGTGATTTCAATTTTAAAAGAAAATTTAATCAAATGGAAACCAGATTTTACCTTTAACACATTTATTTACTATACTTAATGAGGCTAATTTGCAGTCATGTGACAGCATAAATTTTACTAAAACAAGGACCATTCTTTCAGCATGTATTGCCAGAATTAAGCGAAAGGAGAATAATATTGAACGTAACGAATTTTCCTAGTCCCGTTACTCAGATTTCGAAACTAGGTTTGAGAATGCATTTACTTGGTCATTACCACAGAAGACAATGAATTCTCTCTCTCCTATGGTCACATTGAAAAAAAATGTCATGTTACAAGAGGAACTGATCGGAATAGGAAGTAACGGAGTAAAGTTTAGAAATAGATGTCACCAATTTTAGCTTTAAAGAGAACCAGTTATTTACCTCGAGTTATGGAGTATTGGAGAAAGCTTTAAATTGCTTTTCCTAGTGAGAAGTTTCAGCGCGGTTGTCAGCTGGGCACTACTAACCGAGGAAATTTAGGGTTAAACCTGACAAGATTGATAACAAATGTTGAAAATTTGTTATTGAAACACCAGAATCATTCATATCATTATAAACATTTGTTTTTTAATCAGTTATTTTATGTATCACTTAAATTTTAAATTAATTAGCATAGGTTTCTTAAGTTTTTAATTCTATACTTCACTACCGTTAGAAATTAATATCATTTAAAATAAATAGCTCTATATATATACCAGCTGTCATAAACACATTTAAGTTAATAAATTTGCAAAAATTCCATATTACGTAAGCAGGGGTCTACCACAAACCGAAAAAATTGGCAAGGGGTCTACGAGACAAAAAAGCATGGGAACCTCTGCTCTAGGAGCATTATCTGGTTCTATGAGTTATGCCCTAATGAAGTCTAATTAACTAACAGGCAACTTCTAAGTATTCAGATATTGAGTATTGTGGTGAAATAGCAACATGCAAAAAATCAACGATTTATTTTTATTCGAGTTTTGTTTATTGAAACTGATAAAAAAAAGAAGATAGAAATAAATATCACATACACACACACACACAATAGTCGTTGGAAAGTTTTAGTTTTAAGAAATCTAAAGTACTATGTTTAAGTACTATACATAATTGTTTTCATGAATAATACTTAAAATAAATAATTTCTCTTTCCAACAGTGGACGACTTAGAAATCGTGTTTAAAATTTCTTTCTGTATTATTTCACTGGTTACGCTATTGTTTAATTTACGAATTTAAACAAAATAATAAAAAAAGAAATCCCTCTCGGTTAATGGAATTACTATGCCAATAATTTTATTACTAAATTTTACAGTAGTTTTTTCTTTGATTCCTTTTTTTTCTCTATCTTGATTCGCATATTAGAAGCCAGTATGAGCAAACAAGAGCTTTGTAAATGAACTCCAGAGTTCTCTTATTTATTAATTTTTAGCCACCAAGAGGACAGTGTTTTATAGCTAGCAATTAATTGTACCAGATCTTTTATCAAATGCCCATGTTCACCAATGAACAATTTTCAAAAACATGTTATAAGTGATAAGTTTATCTATGATTCGTATTGGCTTAAAATAAAATTTATATAAAAATTAGACGATTGTTATCAATCAATTGATGTATTGTAGTTATTGGTACGTAATCCGAAATTCAAGAAAGAATTATAATAGAAACAAATTTCTAAAACTTCTACGATTGCTGTGAGGCAACCACGTTTATCTTGAGAAATGTTTCTACATAACTTGTCTTTCTATTAGGCCTATTCTTGGTAAAAAATGGTTTTCCCACTCAAAATTTAAATTTTTGCATTAAACAGTGAAGCTTATTTACTGAAGCTGACAGTGAAGCGTATGATCAAGCTTTTTTACTTAGGTTGTCAATATAGTAATCTTACAATGGAATGATTATGATAAAAGGTTGTTAAATGTAATAAGAGCAAGGAAAATAAATTTGATCATTTAACGTGTGAGATATATTTTTAGTACGTTATGTTAAAAAAAATATATATTTTAATTATTTTGTTATCGCTGATTAAATATTATACATAAAAAACTCATTTTTATTCTTAATTAATTCAATACAATTTCATCGGCATTCTTTCCCATGGAAAGTAAATTAAAATAAATAAAGGAAATTTATGAATATAATTTGATGTAACAAAAGCATATAACATTCATTGAAGATGTAATAGACTTCCTGTGCCGTCCATTAGTATGAGAGGGTCGGAAGAAAGATTAGCAATCTTCAAAACAACTTCTATTTATTCGCAATAATCAACAACAACACAAATTCAATAACCCAAGTTAAGAAATGCACGAATTACCAAATATGTGAAGCAATAGCGAAGTAGACGAGATACTAGAAGACTTAACAAATCGGATCACTTACGTACAGGCAATACACCTTCAACTTCAAATAGACCCAATCAAATTTAATCACTAATTGACGAAATCCTCTCAATCTTAATATTACTCATATAAGCTACAAAGTGATCACACTTAACTTCACGTTAATAAATCACTGCTATCCGCTAGCAGGCTAACCTCTCTCACTCTAACTCGAAAGTTTAATCTTCATATACAAGTCTTAATTTACATAATCTCATCTTCTTCGGAGGAGGAAAGTTTTTAATAGAATAATTTTTAAAGACCCATTATTCCCCAAGAGGACTATTAGTAGGAAGAACGCAGATAGACCCGTTACAAAAATATATTTTTCATTTAACAATATTCTGTCAATTTTGACACTTTTGGCAAGATAGTACATTTTTAAAAAAAGAAAAATCACAAATTTTATGTACTTTTCCCCCCAAATCAACAGAAGGTTAAGACTGTCAAGGTTAAACTTTTGTTTTGAATTGTTTTCATTATGCGGAAGTTTGTTTGGGAAACCCTCGGCTTAGACACTCCGACACAGACTGTTAGAAACAAACAAACAAAAAAAGTACTTAACATAAAGCGTATTTACCTCGAAAAAAAATCGACCTTTACTGTTCGTCGTGTCGGAATTTTGTAAATTATCTGGTGCGGAACCAGTTTACGACTCCGCGCGGATAATCCGTTTCGCTTTAACGGCCCCGGAGTTTCCATCTGTACCCTAATCTCCGGTTTAAATAAAAGTTAGTGAAGGCAAACTTCATTTTTTCTTCCACTTTCTTCATATTTTAATGATTGAAGTAAACAGAAATCAAAAATTCTTCCAAGGATTTGATTGCTTAAAGAATTTAATTTGTTTTAAATGGAAATATTTTTTTTTCTTTGATTACATGTTTCCGCGCGATTCCGTCTTTCGAAAATATTCTCCAATCATCATTGATATCCCACGATGTTTGTAGTACAACATTAAAAAAACAATATCAGCATTAACAAGTGTGTAATATAAAAAAAAAAATTTTAAGTCTATTCCTACTTAGGTTAACAAAGAAAATTTTTTATTTTAGTTACTTTTTATTAAATGGTTACAATTGATGTAAACATGTATATACGTGAGACAGAATCACAATATTAAGCGGTAAAATAAAAAACGATTTTCCTTGCAATTGTCCATTTTCCTTTCCGTATATGGTATTGAACTATTATTTTTGTTACTATTTATTCACTAATTAAATATAATTATTACAATAAAATAGTATGGTAAAAATAAATCACATTCTCTTAAATTAGGACATCCCAGGTGGGATTCCAAACCACGACCTTTGGATTAGAAGTCCAACACGCTTTCCATTGTGCTACTGGAACACAACGAACAATTTTCCTTTCTATATATGTTGTTGGACTATTATTTTTGTTACTATTTATTTATTTTTTAATTTAGTTAATGAATTATTTTTGAAAAAACTGTATTGACATCAAGCGTGATCCACTATAAGTTTAGAAAAATGTATTTGAACTTGAACGGATGAATAGAAAGTATTTTATTAACAATTGAAAATTTGAACAAGACACACACACACACACACATATATATATATATATATATGTGTGTGTGTGTGTGCGTAAGGATAATTAGATTTAAAATTAAAAATTCACTATATAACACTTAACTTTTATTTTCCATTACATCTTCAAGTCTTAAATTAATCACCCAATTATTTCTCCGAAACAGATGGCCTAACCACTAAACACTTCTAATCCCAGATCATTATATTTAATAGCCCTATATGTCAGCATTAACTTTCAAGTACAACTCATTAAAAAAATACTTCACACACCTAGGCTTCAGTGGTAAAAACACTTACATTTCATTTTGGCGTCCTTTTTCTCTCAGCGACAGATCATGTAGAGAACTGGCTGAATAAAGACTTTTTTTAAAATTAAGATTGGTTCTGACTTGAAACATGTCATATATATATATAGGGAGAGAGTGAGCTAACAGTATAGGAATTAAAAAACATACATCGTATTTTTCCAATACATTTTTTTCATAAAATGTAAAATGATGTATAGCAATGTATGACGGCAATGATGCAAAATATTGAAAATGCTGTGATATTTATTTGATTTAAATTATACTACAGTTATTACTTGAATTAATTATGTTTATTGTGGGACCAGTCCCCCCACCAAAAAAAGACTGAATAGCTATAGATGATGGTGAAGTAGACTACGTTTTTTGAAACTTGCCCTTTGCCTCATCTTATTCAAAAGGCAAGTTTTTTTTTTTATCAAAAGAGGACTAAAGCAGATGTTATTACATTAAACAATTTACATTTAATTCTTCGTTTCCTTATTTCAGTTAATGATAGCCCTATATCATGATTAATTGATTCCCTTAAATTGTATTAAATGGGCTATTTAAGTATTATTCTGATATACTTATTTATTTAAAAGGAGTTTTTCACAATAGTATGTCAAAGTAATATGTCATCGAAATGTCGTTAAAAAGTTGTATCTTTCCCCTTTTACTTTTTAAACAAGTATTTTCTCACCAGATTCGAATTAATTCTTAATTAGATTCATTCAGGCAAAAAGAGGTTACTGAACCAGGAATTGCGACTAGGATATTGTCACTTAATAGGCGGATATTCTTCAACTGAGAACTCTTTAAGACCCATTAGTCGCGATCAGACTTTTCATGAAATGCCCAAATAAATAATTACTTAGAAAAACATTTTCTTTTTGTTCGTATGATCACTCTTAAATGCAGAATACGTATATATTTAAAAGTCAGTTCAATATATTTTGTTAAAATTAATTCCCGTTAACAAAAGTTGCGTTAAGTTTTTATCATTTTTAAGACATCACAAAAAAAAAAAGTCAGCATGCAATACCTTAGAGGAAATATATTAACGAAAAAAAAGCAAACTTCGTGACTATAACTAATGAAATATATAACAAATTAGACTTTTAAATATCAAGACCTTCATTAAGGAACAACTATCGGTATATACATATGCATTAATAATTTCGAAGAATTATTATTTTTTATCCTTTGGTTTTTTAATACACATGTAGTATAGCTAAAGAATCTTAGATCTAATTAAAACTAAATTGAGTTCATATCAAATGAAATTATTCACAAACCCAGAAAATCAAACTTCTGAGCCATAGTTTCGAAAAAATCCAAAATTTAAACAAGTATTATCAGATATCACATTGCTTTACATTCGCTTTCTAAATAGTTTACATGTCTAAAAATTATTAATACTTTAAATGCTTCTCATCAGTTTAGTTAAATGAATATTTGAGAATAACGCATTATAATTTCATAATACTGATATTGAACAAACTATATACAACAAAAAATTAGCTTTTACAAATATTTTTTTAATATTTCCATTTGATGATGAATCCATTGTCAGGATATGTTTCATAATTATATTTATATTGACTCATACGTCCAAATTCGAACGTCTTTGAAAAAATATACTTTCACCAGTCTCTTTCTATGTCATTTTAACAAAGTGCCTGCCAGAAAAAAAGTGGAATTGAATAGCCAAATATTTTATAAAAGCAGCGCATAAGAGTGCTAATTCACACGCGAGAATCCTCATTTTCTATCAAAATGGTTTCCTGCCCGTAAATTCATCACATAAAGAGTTTCCTATAGAAAACAAAAGACTCGACCCACACAAGCAAAGGCTGATGTCCTTCCAACAGTTTACGATCGAACCCAGTGGAAAGGACTCTCGAGCAAGTGATTGTTGTGGGTCAACAGCTCATCAGAAGCGCCTGGAATGTTTCCGCTCAAACAGACACCCAATAAGCATGAAAATATTTCATTCCTTGCTTTTCATGCATCGGCTCGGTTCCTCTAGCAGTCTTGTTTCCTGCCAACTAATGGTTTTGTGTCTGTGCACATTCATATGTTTCCGATTTACAAGGCAAGAACATCTTGTCTACGATATACTATCATAAAATTAAAATTGGGTGAAACGATTTTTATCATTTTTGACGATTGATAGATTCGCAATGACAAGCAAAGACTTTTGGATTCTGATATTCTTTGGAATTAATTAACTTTATGTTATCAATAGTTTTTGAAGGTTACAAGTTTTGTTTCGTAACATTGATGAGTCGGTGAAGGAGTATTTCTGCAATCCCCCTGACTGTTTTGATTAATTCAGTTTTGTGCAAATTAATTACTTTGTCTCTCTAATTAGGTATTCTATTTCGCAATTAATGATTTTTAACAGTTTGGAGGTTCTGTTAGGTAACACTGATAAGTATTAGTCAATGGATAAATGTTGCTGCAATCAGTGGCGTTACGAGTACCTTTGGGCCCTCTGCAATGTCAGGTTTTGGACCCTCGAGTTGGATTTCACAAAGGGTAGATACTTGGCGGCAGTCAAGCTTTGGGCCCCGTAGAACCTTGCGGGGGTGTACGTTACGTCACTGGCTGTAATCCAACTTGAATATTTTCGCTTATTCCATTACATGCATATTAATCACGGTGTTTCTAAATGGATAATCTAGCCATTTTGGAAGTGTGAGATCTCTTAGATTTGAGCAAGAATTATTGGATTTCTTGAAAAATTAAATATATTAAGTTCAGTGCTTTGAGTAATCAACCATGTTTTATAACACCAACTTTTCTCTAATTCTAACAGTAAGTCTAATTATCATTTGACATCACCCACATTTAAAGGAGTCCGAGCTACACTATTTCCTTAATTTGAAGCTGTCATTGTTTTCTCGAATTATGTATCATCGCAAACAAATCAATTGAGTCACATGAAAATCACTTAAGGTATCCGACTACGTTCGAAACCGTGATTTTAAAAAAGCGCATAAATGGATAATTTTCATGATATTTAGTGTCACTCAGATTAGAATACATGCATAAAACTGTTTTAAGGAGATTTTGACAAAAAAATATTTATTTAAATATAATATTTTGTCAAAAAATTAACTTAGAATAATCTTTTTTCCAAATGTTCTCCCTTTGTGAAAAATGGTTCTATTACAATAATATTTTGCTTGTATATAGCTCAGACCTCTCTACAGAGGCTCAACTAGAAATTTTGAAAAAAAATCACATTATTTTTAGAGTTACCACCAATTGAAATAATTATTCGCGTTTTTTTCTTAAAATTACTCCCCTCTGTTGTCGTAAAATATGAATAAACCCACTTCTAAGTTATATATTTCAAAAATTCTAGTTGAGCCTCTGTAGAGAGGTCTGAGCTATATACAGGCAAAATATTACTATAATAGAAGCATTTTTCACAAAAGGAGAACATTTGGAAAAAAGATTATTCTAATTTTTTGCCAAAATATTATATTTAAATAAATTTTTTTGTCAAAATGTCCTTAAAACAGTTTTATGCATATATTTTAATCTAAGTGACACTAAATATCATGAAAACTATCCATTTATGCGCTTTACAAAATCACGGTTTCGAACGTAGTCGGTTACCTTAAGACACACTATTATAAATTAAAACAGGATATTGAATAAAGAAATAGAGAGAGAAATACAACATTATATTTTTTTATTCACTGTTTTAAAAGTGGCGCAAAATGCACAATGTGGTCTTATGAACATTTTGCTTAGTTAAATAGTTTTTTCCTTCTTTATGAGATAAGGATTGCAAGAGAGTCTAATTACACGAAGAAAAATTCTAATGTTTTTAAGAGAAAATTTGGAGAAATAAAACTTATAAAAAATATAGCAGAAATTTAAAAGGACATTTATAAAATATCATTCTACCAACAAAATGTTATAATCCTTTCATTGTAAGACATTGACACATTTTATCTGACTTACTTCCAACAGAATTGACGAGCAATTATATATATTTAATAATTGTACCTCAAAATTGAGGAGCGATACCCTTTTATGCAGCGTAAATTTTACATTCAAGCTTCTCTCTCTCTCTGAATTGATTTATTTACTCTTCTGAATTATTAATTACCTTCCATTGGTTTGAACTTTCCTTACAAGATAAGTCCAAATATTGATGCATCTTTCTTCAAAGCATTTTGTTTGCTTCTCTGGAAGTGTCGCAAAAAGCTCCATCTTGTTCCAAAATGAAATTAATCCATCTAAAAGTGAATAATACGAAAATAGTTGTACGTCCAAGATTCTCTGTTCTGTTGTAAGTTGAAGCTTCTTCACTGAACATCAAAAATCTTTGCATTTAGTATGTCTGTTTATCCGTCTTCCTCTTTCTAAGATCGTATCAATATACTAGTTAAAATCATCGGGTTCATCAAGATTAAAACGTGTCTCATCCCAAAATGTAGTTTTTAATTCACGTTGTTTATAGCCCAATTTAGCCAAGTTTCTTTTGTAT